CAGAATTAGTTCTATTCTAAGTCAAATCAGGACAAACACACCTTCAGCAATCCATAGGAAATGCCAGAGAAGAGTGTCCATCTCACAAATTTAGCCAGCTACTCGTAGTCGTGAGTGTGCCCACAGGAGTGCAGGCAACCGTCATGTTTCATTCCTTTGAAGTGTGGCCAGCACTTGTGCTACCACCCTGCTTTGCATCACAGCTGAGCAGTTGCAGCTCCAGGAGAAGATCAGAGTACAGTGACCTTCTTAGACTGAAGGAGTTAAAATTCACACTTCTGACAAGAGTTCATGAACCGCTGCAGTGGTCTCCCTCAGCTTCCTCCACTGACTCTAGACCTCATGGTAGTGGAGAGTATGGGGCAAAGTAGAGCATGTGGGAGCAGCTTGTGTCACCCAAAGACTAGAGCAGTTCACATGGAGGAGAGTCCTGTGTCCTGTTTCTGGCTCCCAGGATTATATCTGCTTTTACTCAGTTACTGTTTGGTGTGAAATACAACAGCAAGTCCAAGATAAGAGTCTCATGTATAGTAATAGCAAGTCAAATAAGTAGTGTCACAGGCCAGGGACTGGAACCAAACCCCACTGCCAGCTAAGGGCTTGACACTGTGAATTGAGTACAGTTCCCACTAGGAGACTGCCCTTGAAATGGCTCATTTTTAAGCTTGTTATCTGAAGGAAAGCCTGAAATACTAAAGCAAGACTTCATGGATTCTTTGCAGCTTCTTATGTTTGTCAGTGCATGTGAGCAGTGTGGGTTTCTTTCCTAGATTGCCTGTAGTGTACAAAAACAATCTTACAGGACAAAAATGCGTATTAAATAGAAAAGCAGCAGCATTAGTGTTTCCTGGAAATACACTGCTTATCCTGTTAAGTGTTGGAACCAGAGATGTAGCCGTGAGTTAAAGGTTTCAAGATAAATTAAACCAAATCTCCTAAAAATGCAGAAACTTTCAATAGTGGGCCTTTACAATTTAATCTTCTCTACTTTTCTAGCTGCTGCTAATGGCTTTGCTGGGGTTTGTTTGTTTGTTTGTTTGTTTGTTTGTTTTAATGCATCCAGGCCCTATCTTTTCCCCAGGATCTCTAAATAAAGCATGAGAAACAGCATGCCACTTATTCCTCTAGTTGTTGCACTGGTATGGTAGACATATATGCATATTTTGGTCTCTTTGCCATATAACAGGATGCTTTTGAAGGTGAGGAAGCTCAGCAAATTTAAGTGCTTTACCTCTTGAGGACAAGGTGTCTCTGTCAGCACTGTACAGTTTTATTTGAAGTTCTGTTTTCATCCTGTGACTGTATGCAAAACTTAGCATTAAGAGTGAGATGTATATAAAGAAGTCATGGTTAAGAAGTGAGAAGATAGGTAAAATCTATGGTTTAGATACTCTGGCAGCTATGAAACAGTGGTGAAGTTGCAAATAGGAAAGACTTGCACAGAAGGACTGAATTTTAATAAGCTGACATAAGGCATCCTGAACTGTGGGAATCCAGTTCTGCTGCTGTCAATGTTCCTGTCACAGATACTATTTGGACTTTTCCAAGACCCCTGATCTGTGGTCCCTGACCCGTGGTGCAGACGAGTGCTCTGGACTGTGGGAGCATCGCTGTCCCCTGTGCCAGCATGCCTGCCCACACTGCCTGCACTCCTCAGCACCACTCCTCAGCACCAGCTGCAGCACCCAGTCACCAGCTCACAGGCTCCTTCCCCTCCCCTCCGTGTCAGCGGGAGCTAGGTGACCCCCAGGTGCTGTCAGGGGAGCAGGGAGGCTGAAAGGCAGCACAAAGCGGGATGCCCACTGCAGCACGCTCCTACCTGGGTGCCATTGCCCATTGAGCAGTAAAGGGCAGAGGCAGCACTAGATGATGCACAGTTTCCCTCCTGCTTCTCAGACGCCCGTTCCAGGCAAGGAGCAATCCTGGAAAATGTCACAGTATTTTGTTGGCCATCCTTGTGTTGTTCTTCCCATGTGTTCTCTCCTCCCATGCCATGGGTGTGCTGCTTGCTCAGAGCCCACTGCGAGGCGGGGGGAGGGCAGAGCATCAGATGCCATTCACCTGGCACAAGAATTTCCATCAGAGCATATTCCTGAGGTGGCTCGGCTGCCAGCAGGCTGTTGGTGCCATGATACTGGGTGGCTGGAGCATGGAAGAATGTGTTTGAATAAATTTCAAGTGAGATACCACTATATCTGGTGGCTCAATGCATAGCACCTTTTGTAGGAAAGGGTGGGTAGCACAGTCCTGCTAACAGGAAAGTCTCAGGTCATAGCTAAGCAAGAGCTATGGCCAGTTAGGACAAAAGAATATGTTTTTGAGAAATGTCAAACTCTATCCTGGTTAACACTGAATTGGCATTAACTGTTCTGGGGCTTACATATGTGAGCTTTTGCAATCCCATTGTCACAGCGACAAAAATGGTCAACAGGCGTCCTCAGGGAGCTGTCAGCCTGGAGAGTGGCATTAGGAGAGATGAGAGGCTATGTTCAGCTCCTGTCCACATTGCTGCTAGGCAAGGAGTTTCACCTCTTTGTTAAGATATTTGTAAGATAGAATTCTCACTTACCCGGGAGAATATGTTGCAATTGATCTTGCATTAATAGATTCCACGTTGTTTTGCTCAGAGATGTCTACCAAATGGGAGAAAATATTTTTAAAAGTCTCCTAGTAACATTGCTGTTGAGCTGTGCTACACACAAAGCTGGCTTGAACATCACTAACACACTTGGAAACAATACTAGCAGTGACCTCTTTAATTTATAAAACGTTCTTGAAGATCCTATAAATAGCCATATGCCTAATTTTAAGCATAAGTAGTCTCCTGTGCTCAGTGTTAAGCTTGTGTGCAACTGTTATCAGAATTGGGGCCAGACAGGTTGATTTTGCAGCCACAGTTCCTGCTCTCAGATGCAGTTCAGTCTTCCAGAAGGCTCAGCCTTTGAGGTGGCTGCATTTCCAGGCACTGCTGACTTTTATCAGCAGGGCTCAGCAGCCCTCCCCTGAGCTGCACTCCAAGCCAGGCAGGTCAGGGAGAGGTGATTATTAAGCCTTTGCTTCCTTGAAATGCTTTTGATAGCAAGATCTGATTATGATGTGGTCTACGTAAGCAGAGATAAGCCTTGGCTAGGACTCCTGTTCTCTGTGCTGCAGCCAGGACTTGGCTTTGGAAAGCTGTTGGCATCTTACAAGGTCAGGAATGCTTTGGGGGCCCAAACACCAGAGGTATGGATGTGTTTACCTGCTCGAGTCTTGTTTGGAGAAGTAGGTTTGGGAGTAGTGTGGTACCAAGACAGTACTTGGAGCGTGCTGCAGTCTGGTAGATGGGAATGTTTTGTTTATCAGGAAAATACTGTTGCAGCTTTGAATGAACATCAGGTCCCACGATCATTTTGCTTCCCCAAGGAGAGGGTCACTGACATCTACATCTGTAGTCATGATTTAAATACTCTGTGAAACAACGTGGCTTTGCTGCTCTTCTTCCCTCCCCTTGCAAACTTGGATCTGGTTCTGCTCTGGCTACGGCTGTGATGTCTTGGGTCTGATTATCAAGGGTGTTGGACTGGGCATGGAGTTGGTTAGAGGTGATAAAGCTGGGTCCCTGGGGTACCCTTTTGAAGAGCTAAGCTTTATGTTTGAACACTTTGAAATAGAGCTGACCTATATTTTGGGCTGGACTGAACCAGTGGCACAGAAACAGGTCTCAGACCTGGAGAGGCTGGGAAAGAATTGGCTTAAATCTAAACATGTCTGATCCTAAGACTGATTGCTAAGAGTTGCTGTACATTAAGGATAGTTGCTGGATGTCTCATCCTCTTTAAGTCTGTGAGGACACACTCCAGGAAGGTCTTTTCCCAGTTTCATGGGGTATTAAGACACACCCATCACCATCAGCTCTGCAGAGGATTGATGACAGATTGTGCACTCAAAGGTTTATGGGCCATGGTGGGGATGATGAGCTGCATCTCCCCCTCGTGGAAAAGACAGCAAAAATGGGATATGTGGCAAGTCTGCAGCCACTGCCCCAGGTTGTCTGTGCGTGGATGGCAGGCAAAAATTCTCAGATAAGAGATGTTCCCCCTGACTGGCCGCTTAAAAGATGTTGGGAAGTTATTTCCATGCCCTCAGATAAAGTCACCATCCATTATTGTGTCTTTGCAGCATGAGACCTGGATATGACCTGGGACATTTTTTGTTTGAGTGAGACTGAAAAAAAATCCTAATTTTAGGATTTTTTTTTCCAGATTATAAAACGTTCTTAGTACATCTATCTATTACTGACCTTAGCAAAATTAGAGCAGTTTTTCTTACGTATGTCAGAGACTGGGAAATAAAAGCTATGGTCTATAGGAAGTCAGTAGTCAGATAGAAGGCTTGGCACCCGAGAGGCACTTGAGAGCCACACATGATTATTGGATTACTTTAAGGCTATTAGAACTGCCTTACTATACTTCTGTGACAAATTAAAACCTCCATATGCATGCACATATATATGCATATACCCTGTTAGCCTACACACATCTACACATGCATGTTTATATCATCTCAGAAACAAAAACAGAAGCAACTTTCCTCCTAGCAAGTAGTATTTTTGTATGGTTTAAAGCAAGAGAAATCTTCAGTTACAGTTTTGTGCTCCTAATCACTGTGCTTCCAAAGCAGCCACGTGAGCAGCCTCATTCATGTACTGATGGCTATGAGGAAGCAAACAGGTTGTCACAACAAATGCTCCTTGCCGAGTCCCAAAATGGCTTCTGTAGCATGTGGGTTTTGTGTCCAAATGTTTTTTTCTGCTCTTGCTGAAGCACCAGTTCTGAAGAAATGTTGAAAATCTGGAACAAATCCAGCACTTGTCCTCAGGGATGGTTGACAGTCCATACAACTTCTGAAATTCACACAGGACAGACAAAGGAAGGATGCTTGTGATTCACTGTTGTTTTGAAAACAGTCTTTGGGTTATAATTTCCATAATGTTTTCACTCTTCCCTTTTCTCTTCCAGGGAGCGAAGCTGATTTTAGCTCTTCAAGCAGCACGGGCAGTATTTCAGCGCCTGAAGTCCATATGTCAGCTCCTGGAAGCAAAAGATCATCTTTTTCTCGCAAGTAAGCAATTTTTTTTCTGAATATTGCAAGTGTTACTAATGCAAAGATAGACTACTGTGTAAAGTCTTGCAGTTAATGCATACAATAGCAGTACTGTGAGTTTTATAACATATTGGGTAACACTGTGCTGTTGGGCAGCACTTACACTGTGCTTACACTGAGAACTATGGTATGAGAAAGGGAAAAAAAAAGTTGTATTTGGAGCACAAAATTGTCAATATGTCAGATTACTTGACTGGCATTTTTTTTGTTCTTATTCATAACAAGCATGTGGGATACAATCAGGTGAGGCAGAAGAGGCATTGGCTGGCGTGGAGGATGAAGCAAATGGTTGTATATTAGTTAGCAGTACTTCTAAGCAGTTATCCTTAACCTTTTGGTCTTACCACTTTGTTTTTTCTCTGTAATAAGTTGTCAGCTCAGCATATACCTTTCCAAATCATGACCTTATTTTTTTGCAAAAAGCAGACAATATTGCCTTTGATGCTTTTTTCTTAAACACCCATGCTCAACTATAACTAAAACTATATGCAAATAAAAAAAAAAAAAATCATAGTCATCCAGCTAAATGAGTCTTTCATGGAAGATTTCTCTAAGATCTATCCCTACCACGTGTGAAGTGCAGACTGGGGCGGCTGGCGAGTACGAGGGCACTGGGAAGGAGCAGCGCGTGTGGCGTCTGCCCACGCCATCCCTGCTGGTTACGGTTTTTGCAGTGGTGGAAAGAGTTCAGATTGACAGACTGGTTTCCTGCCCTGTGTGGAAGAGCTGTCAGGCAGGCTGGGAGGACACCCGTGTGCCTGAGTCACACACGTCTCCAAGGTCACCGCGTGGCCCGTGCACAGAGATCGACAGAGCGACGCTTAATGAGCGGTTTCCTATTTGTATCGTGAGACAGTTAGAAAAATAAACATTACTTAAGTTCTCTAGATTAAATCTAACAAGCAAAGTTACTGGCTATGGGAAGAAAAACGGTACTAAGTATAATATGAAGCCCACTTTAAATAACATTATGTGTCATTTCGTATATTACTGTTCAATTAAATATAACTTAAATTTAGAGCACGCTGACAATTTAACACTTAATCGGTCAGACGTCTTCTGCAATAAGGCTTCTTCAAATGCACTGCTGTGTTATGCACAGTACGTGTAAGTTCTGCCTCACAGTTGAGGCAGAAACACCTCACACTTGATACTGTGCTACACAAAGTGGAAGGAGGTGTCTCCTTTGCAGTGTGCTCTTTTTCAACTGTTTGACTTAACTCACTGTGAAAAGTATCAGCGTTGTCACAAACCACAGTCCTATACTTCATTGTAAAATAATTATAAAATCATCCAAACCGCAGCAGTGTGATGAAGGTTTGCAGCAGTCACTCAACCATCTGTTCCTTATAAACTGTTCCATTTTCAGAGAAGGGAGGAAACCAAGTCAGACAATTTTAAGAAGAGCTTTTGCTTCATAATTCTGTGGTATTCAAATTTTTATATCCAAGCCTTCTCTTTTGTTGGCTGCATTTGCCTTTTTCCATATTTGTTTGAAACCTGACCTTTCATTACAGTTTAGAAGAACAACTTCTATGGGAGGACAAAGGTAGCAGCGTAGTAGTGCAGGATGGCAAACCAAGGGAGCAAGCGAGGAGCGCACCCCAGGCAGCTGTCTTCAGAGTGTCCTAGCCCTTTGGCAGCTCTTGGGCAGAGTAGATACCAACTGCTTTCATGCACACACAGTGGACAGACAGATTATTTAATAAAGAGTGGGAAAAGAAAGGTGGACACGTATGAGGGAAACTGGAAGGAAGGAAGAAATGGCCATGCTCTCCTTTGTTGGAGTTAACACTATTTCAGCCTGCTCTCAGTGAGGTTCAAACCCCATCTAAGTGAGTGAATAGCTGACAGTAACAGCTCAAGCACCCAGTATGCCAAAGGCAGAAAAGAACGGTGGCTCACAAAATCTGTTTTCTCTGCACGCTGTGATTCCTTCGGCTGCTTGCTGAGGAGCATGAAAGCAGTCTTACAGCAAACCTCCAGGGCTGGGCATCTTTCCACAGGCCTGGCTGGGGAAAGCTGAAATGTGGTTCTTTTGGCACCAGTCCAGGCTACAGGCCACTTATTATTTAATGGAGTCAGAGGTTCAGGGAACATGGGTGATCACTGGGAACCATGCTACCCACAGAGAAATGTGAAAATGGTCAAGGTTTCCCTAGATCATGTAATTCAGACTGAAAGCCCTACAGCCAGTGGAAGAACATGCAGAGGCTCATGATTTCAGGACTTTATTTCTCCCCAGCCACTCACAGTTACCTGTCTGGGTTAGTGTTTAGACAACTTTGTGTGTAGAATAAGACACATAATGAGTTCTATGATGAGGATAATCCAATATGCGTTAACCATTTTGGTTCCCCTCCAGTCGTAGCTCTTATAGTCGGAATAATGGATCCTCATCCTACAAGTCTGGAGCCAGCCCACCTGTTTCCCGTGAAAAGGACCCTTTGTCAACACTGTGCAAAAACCAGCTGAGTCCTGCTAACATCCATCAGAGTTACAGGGCTTCTTCAGCCAGCAGCAGCAACTCCGGCTCATACAAAGGAAGCGACAGCAGCCCTGTCATGAGGCAAGTCCTTATTTCAGCACCGGAGGTGTTCAGAACTACGTTGGATGGGGCTTCGAGCAGCTTGGTCTAGTGAAAGGTGTCCCTGCCCATGGCAATGGGGTTGGAACTAGGTGATCTTTAAGGTCCCTTCCAACTCAAACCATTCCATGGTTCGGCGTCCCGATGTTCAGCGCACTGACTTACCTTCTCTGCACTGTTACATGGGACCAGCTGTCTGAGTTGCTGAGCAGGTCACCTTGCTCCTCAGCATAGATATGACTCCTCATATTGGTCGGTCAACAGGGTGCTCCATCTCTTGTAAAAACTCTATTGTTTCAGCACTGTAAAATTCAAGGTTACTTTTAGTCAAAGCCTTTTGTAGTTGGTTTTCACTCCAAGTCAGTCTCTTTCTTGTAATTTCATACCATCAGTTCTCATGGGGATTTACTGGTTCTTTCATGTAAGAGTCCTTTCACTTTGGAAAGAGCTGAGTGGCGTAGTATAGAAAACATTATACACTGGGGTGAAAATTCATGCTACCTAGGCACCTCCCTGTGCAGCTGCTGTACAGGGAAGAGAAGAGAGGCCTGCCAGAGCATGCGACATATTGCAGAGAAGAAATTGCCACCAGGCTGCTGCTCTTAGGCAGCTCAACAGCCAAGCATGTCAGATACACACCAAAAGCTAGACAGGATCAGTTTCAGTTTCAGCCTGCTCAGCTCCATAACTCACAGGTGGAGCTGAGCTCTGCCCTGAAGCCACCTTACCTGCCGTGCCTACAGCCAGGTGACTTTGCTAGCAGCCCAGCTGCCTGCTCTTGGGCACACCACCCATTTTAGGTCAGGGGATGGGTAGGTGTTTTGAAGTTAAGCATCTCATTTGACATAATGGCACTGAAACCAAGTATAGTAAACGGCAGATTTTGAACTATAGCCACAAATAGCTGTTTCCTCCAGTACTTTGATTTGCCAAAGATGGTCACTTGTGCAGATGCTGAGGGGCCACAAATGAGTCAAGTGTAGACTCAGCTTTTATAAAATGGGATGTTCTTTTTGCCAGGACTTAAGAACTATAGAACTTATGTTATGTGATTTTTTTTTTTTTTTTTTCTTTTCAGGCGATCAGGGAGACAAAATTCTTGTGGTGACAATCACGGTGTTAAGCCACAAAATCCAGAGCAATATTTGACTCCTCTGCAGCAGAAAGAAGTTACAGTACGGCATTTGAAAACAAAGCTGAAGGAATCTGAGAGCAAACTTAAAGAAAGGTATATTTCACTCCAGAAATCAGAGTTAGAAAGATTTATTCAGCAGCACTTAAGGGTGGGAATCATCAATGTTTTTACTCATTTTTTGACCATGTAAATTGTTCAATAAGAAATTTCAAATATGATCAGTCTGATTAAGTTGTTTTCAGGTATTTGAGGTTTCATAGCATGCTCAGTGGATAAGTACCATGCAGTTCAGTTAGGAATATGGCTGTCATCTTTCCCTTTTTTGAAAGTTCCAAATAGAATATTTTTAAAGCATTTTTTTTTTCCTATCTGATTTAGTAATGAGACCTTTTATACATAAAACAGTTTCTACCTGCCAGCATGTATGACCTCAGTCTCCTGTTCTACCTCACTCAGTGAAATATGACTATAGATGTCCCCCTTCTCCCCTAATGAAAGAAAAACTCTCACACAAACCAGTGTACCCGCTTGTGGTTTTGTCACTTAAATACTGTATCTTTCACAGCATTCTATCTTTCACATGCCCTTTGTATGGACATTGGGGAAAAAAGTGACAACATACATTACACAGCAACAGAGGTTGTTTCTTTTATTAAAACCACGCTCTGACAGTTGGCTCTCCAGCACATACAACCCAAGCAGGCACAAAGGGATGTCTGAATGGAGCTCCAAGGCAGAGTCCCAGAGCCCCTGTGGTCCAGCTCAGGTTAGCCCCACCTCTGCATCTGCAAGGGGTGGATCTCTCACACTGGCACACTCTTTACACCTGCTTGAAAGCCAAGGCAGCTGCCTCTGGCTCCACACCGGGCAAAGCAAGCCGAGTGCCATCAACCCTGAGCTGTCTTACTGTCTAAGGCCAGTGTTGGCTTTGGTTGTTCGTGATGAGCTGCTGGCAGGCAGAGGGGATGGGTCCAGGCAGCAGTTTCTCATTCCCTCCAGGGTGAGACAATAGATGAGCCGTTAAGCGCTGTCCTGGTTGGACCCAACCTAGAGGTCACTTGTGCTTCAAATTGTCTGGGATCATGGCATAGCCCTCAAGGCGGCCACCTTGAGCTGCGTGGTGAGGTCAGTGACTCCAGTTAGCAACCAGCTGGCATGTCTTGGCAGCTGGCTGACATCTCTGCCAGCGCTCCCAGAGGTGACAGCAAATAGTGCATGGAGGAATTTGCTTCCTCCTTGGAGCATCTTTGCAGCTTAGCTATTGCCATGTAATGGAGCCTCATATTGACTCTTTAACTGACCAGCCAGCAGAAGTGTGACAACATTTTTATTTTGCTCCAGGGAAACCGAAATAGAAGAGCTCAAAGCTCAGCTGGTACGTATGAGGGAAGACTGGATCGAAGAAGAGTGTAATCGTGTGGAAGCAGAGCTGGCCTTAAAGGAAGCAAGGAGTGAAATTAAACAACTCAAGCAGGTTATTGAAACCATGAAGAACAGCTTGGCTGAAAAAGACAAAAAAATTGAGAAATACTTCATAGACATAAACATTCAGAACAAGAAACTGGAATCTTTGCTGCAGAGCATGGAGATGGCACAGGACAGCTCTGTGAGCGATGAGCAGTGCCTGGAGAACACCTGTGACTCAGAAGGGAAGCTGCTGGAGCTCTGTCCCACACTGCTAGACAGCCTCATCACACAGGACCAGGCTCTGGAGGAGGTGGCAGATAGCGGGCTCCTTCCTAATGAGGACGGAACTGCTGGGACTGATTCATCTGAAGAGAGTTTGACTGCGACAGCCTCGGAGTTGAGTGAGCCAGCTGCCTCCAGTTCTGCTGTGAATAAAGGGGTGCTTGAAAATGTTGTGGATGAAGAACCGACTTATTCCCAGGAGGAGGAGAAAACCAGCAATGTAATGGTGGAACAGGCCGTCCAGACTGATGTTGTGCCATATAGCCTAGATTTGAAGCAGCTGATTCAAAGCATCTTCAGAGCTCAAGATACCCATCCTCCAAGCCCATGTTCTTCAGTGAAGGAATTGGGGGAATTTTCCTTTGAAAGCTTCAGTGAATCTGGTGTTGTAGTGGACTTAACTCCAAGTGATCCAAACTCTGCAATCCTTTTGTCTCCTATGGAGTCTCCGTGCAGGAAGGAGGAGTACAGTGTTAGTGAGAACCGTTTCATGCAAGAACTTGATTTTACAGAACCTCATAATGATGAAGCCTTTGAGTATATCAATACTTGCTCTCAGACAGGAATAAAGAGGAGATACTGGAGCAGCAGTCTCTTCAAAGATGTTCTGGCTGTAGCAGCCCCTGTTATACCAACTGTCATGTGGGCTTTCAGCACTCAGAGAGGAATGAATCCCATTTACAATATCGGCACATTGCTGCGTGGCTGCTGCCTGGTGGCCCTGGGGTCCTTGCGCCGTACACCCTTCAACATCAAAACCTGAAGTCTGCTCTGTCCCTGGGCACCAGCTGGCTGGGGCAGAGAGAAAGAGGGATGCAATAGATCACTGAAAGTTATTGTATATTCTGGCAGAGTCCATCATTTTTGCTTTTGACCATTTGATTTGCACTACAAATTGGTTCAGAAACATGTTCCTTGTTTCGAAATAAGAAAGCTGAACCCTGTAGTTTCACAAGATGTTTTTAACTGGTATTTTTAACTATACTGCTGCCTACAGAGGTAGCCCTCCTGCTCCACTGTGTTCCTCCCCTGTGCTGGTGTCTTTCTAGTGCCAGCACCTCTGCACACTGAACACAACCAGGGAAATCAAGGACGATTACAGCCAGTGCTCTTGCGTGTTTCGCTGCTGAGTTAGCATTAAGCTCAGTCACTTTTCCTGGCGGGTTCACTGAGCAAACGTGCAAGCACAATGCACTGGCTCAAGGGCAGCACAAGGTGCCTATGGGAACAAATGGCCGGAGCACAGTGGGTGTTGCTTTAGGCAGCACAAACTTAAAACATTTGTGAAACTGCAGTGTTAGGTGAGTGACATGGAGACTCGTTCCCCTCAGCCTATCACACACGTGCTGCAGAAAGCATGCAGGCGCTTTCCATTTGTTGTCCGAGGTGTCAATTCAATTTAGAGGTAAAACTCATGTTCCCCAGGCAGCTTCCAGCACATCATTCGTGCCTGTCTCGTGTAGTGCTCTTCTCAGTTGTGCAATTGCTCGAGCATTTCACTGTTCTTGTGCTTAAACGGGGACTATAACCAAAAATGTACATTGTTGGGGGTCTTGAAACCAGTTACAATGATAAGTATAGGCGTGGATACACTTTGAGTCTTAATGTTGTTCTAAAGTCTTACTGTATAGGAACCTGATAGTCTTTTGAGCCCTTTGAAATACTATGTATAAATATGTTGTGTTTTAACTTATTGTTTATTTAATTGCTTTATTGTAAATTACTTTTATTAGCACAAGTAAAGCATGTTAGAAATGTCAAACATCTGTGAGTGTTTTATTGTAGCCAAGCTATAAAAAATACCCTGAGCTGTTTGGAACAGGCCAAGCAGGACTGTGTCAGGGCATAAGGAACCATCAGGACGTGGAGAACAGAGTTAGTAAGAAAACCTAAGTACAGCTCCAAGCATAAGCACCCAGCCAGAGAAGGTGGCTCCAGGGGGTCTGTGGACATGGGCCACTCGCTCTGCTGCACCCAGGCTGCACTAACAAATGCAGGTGACCTGATCTTTAACCCAATGCACTCCTCTGGAAACTTGTAACTTCTCATTGCTGCACTCCCAGAAGACTACCACCAGTCTTCCTGGCACTTAAGAGGTCCAGAAGGCTTTGTTTAACCTGGCTGAAAGTCATGCAGTCTCGGTGTGGACACTGAGATGCAGCTGTGACTATCAAACCCTGAATTCTCCACATCCAAAACTTGAGATCTGTGTATAGACCAGAGGAAGGCAAAACTACCCAACAGATGAAACAGTAGGGCTTGTTTGGCTCCACCCAATCTTTCAATACCACATCTGGCCATTAAAAAGTCGTTGGCATCTTGTTTTCCCCTTCAGCAAAGCAAGTATAGTATTTCCCTGTGCAACCCAGACAGAATAGGTCTAGTGAAGCCTGGCAGAGCTTCATTCAAAAGCATTGCTCTGCTGCTTTTGGGGAGTTACTAGAAAGCCACAAGAGAGGAGGAATAATTGGCCAGTAGCCAGGGAACACTTGGAACACTGAAGATAGTGAAACACACTGATGGTTACCAGAGGCCACCTGAGGACCTTTCACATCCCTGTGATGCCTGGGTTCTGAATTGTTTGTATGTAGAACAAAGATTCAAGAGGGTTCATTAAACATTATATTAGGAAGAGAAATCTAACAGACAATTTGATCTAACAGTCCCCAAGAGTTCACAAGGATGCCCATGACAGCATCTTGCTTTCTTTGCTGGCAGCTTCCTCTTCCATGCTATCCTGCCTTCCTGAATTTCAACTAGTTTGTGTGGCAAGGTTTTGGTAGCTGTGGATGGTCTACAGGGGTGGTTCATGTGAGAGGCTGCTAGAAGCTTTCCTGGCTCCAGGGAGGACCTAACTCTGGCCAAGGCTGAGCCAGTCAGCAATGGTGGTAACACCTCTGTAATAACATGTTTAACAAGTATAAAAAAACTGCTGGAAAACCAGCAGTGGAGAGAGGAGTGGGATGTGAGAGGTCAGTGAAGAGGGTGGGGGAGGAGGCACACCACACACTGCAGCAGAGATTCCCTTGCCTGGTCATGTGAAGACCATGGTGAGGTGGGTTGTCCCCTTGCAGCCCAAAGACGTTAACTGTGGACCAGATACCCACCTGCAACCTATGGGGGACCCCATGGTGGAAGCAGGTGAAAGCACCCGGAGGCTGTGACCTCATGGGAGGCCCATGCAGTAGCAGGCTCCTGGCAGGAGCTGTAGACCCATGGTGAGAGGAGCCCATGCTGGAGCAGGTTTGCTGTCAGGACTTGTGACCCTGTGGGGGACCCACACTAGAGCAGTCTGTTCCTGAAGGACTATACCCCATGGAAGGGACCTGTGCTGGAGCAGTTAGTGAAGAGATACAGTTCTGTGAGAAGGACTCGCATTGGAGAAGTTCATGGAGGACTGTCTTCTGTGGGAGGGAGCAGGGGAAAAGTGTGAGGAGCCTTATTCCTACTTCAGAAGTATGTCTGCTCCAGACCAAGAGAGAACCTTTCCTACCCCCTACTGCAAGGATATAGACAGCTCAAGGAGCCCTTTGTAAAAAGAGGCCTAAGTTCCATGATAAATGCTTCGGTTCCAGACTCTGGGGACTGGCCTTTGTTCCCTGATCCACAGGTCACATGTCAGTTGTTGCTACCAAACATATAATCTTAATTTGTTTGTTTTAGTCTTAGTCATGTCTCACCTGGATCCCACTGACGCTGTGTGGAGTAGCTAGGGGAGGACCATCAGCTTCCAAAGAGTTCAATAAAAACTCATATCCTTTATTTCCAAATTTAGGAAATGCTCATACCCACACCCATAGCACACTGGAAAGTCCTGTCTCAAAGCATGAAAGTGGAGAGGGCAAGCAGCTCATAGGTTAAGGGTAAAACAGCAGATGTCTGCTTGAATTCAGGCTTATAGCACAGGAACCAAGTCACCTCCTTCCTTGGCTGAAGCAATGCCTGTTTGTGATCCCATGATGCAATTTTTCTTTCTAACCCAGGAGTAAAAAAAAAAAGCCTTTCTTTAATATTCACCTGAAAAGGTACCTGACATCCCTCATAGCTGCTGAAAACACTGAGGCTCAGGCACTGCCCACCTCTCCACCAGAGATTCACCTGCGCCTTTCCTTATGTCCACCCTCTTACACAGCTATTTGTCACTTCTAATTACTTCCTCATTTCTCCTTCCTTTCATCCCAAATTTCTCCTAAATCCCAAACTCTAAAAACATACTAAAATGAAAGTATTGTTTTATGTATGTCTCATTCTTCTACTGACTGCTTGCATGACATAAAATATTAAAAGGCAGACCAGCAGCCAAACTCCTCTCTCCACTCCCATGTCATGCACCAGAGATCCAGAGTGCCAGACAACCAGAGGGAGGAACAAGCCAATGCACTCACTAACTGCAAAAGATGTGAAGAAGGGAGCAAGATGGCCAAGGAACCAGCCATGGGAGAAGGAAGGACCCAGGCAGTCAGTCCAATTATGTAGAAGTTTCCTAGATAGAAATTCATTACCTTTTTCTGCCATCCTGGAAACTCCACTTGCTGTGAAGAGTCAGGGAGCCCTTCCAATAGCCAGAACCCTCACACAGCACATACACTTTGCAAACAAACTTCCCAACCCCACTGCAATCAGAGTCAGCTCTTATAGAGGTGGCTTCTTGCCCCACCTCCAAGTTAATGTGGAAGGTGGGGGAACCTGGTGGTGATCTCCTAATCAGTTCCCACCCAAGGCTGGCCAGACCCTGGGCAAAAAGCAGTCAGGAGGGTCTTTCTTGCCTGGCTGTGGACATCATCCCTATGCCAACCCTCATTCAGGGCTGAGGGTTTAACCCCAACACTGCACTTATATGAAAAGAAGTGAGCATTTTGCTTCAAAACCCTTTAGACAAATGAACAGAGGACATTGCAAACATGAACAACTGTAGCACAGCAAGGTAAGGGTGATTTTTCAGTCATCCTGGCAGGTCAATCCTCCACCGTCAAGAACAAAAGTTAAGGCAATCAAGTCTAGCTTTGAGTGAAGAAAAAAACCCCAAACAAACAGGCCAAGTATGAGAGGGAAAAGTAGGGACCTATGGCAGCAGGAGGAAAAGAAAACAAGCATACACAGTGGGCGTACAAGACCCGTCAAAGAACTCAAACCAATGGGAAAGATAACTAAGCAGCAGCTATACAAAAGATTTAGCAGAAGCAACTGCAGTTTCTAAAATTAATGGCTTATTTTTGCAGACAGTGTCTGCTTCTAGCAGTGATAATGCCTGATGTTTAGAGTTATGGCCTGGGACTGGTGTGCCAAAAGGCTCTTGCTTACACTTGACCGTATAGAAACCAAGCTCACAGCTAAACCTTGTGTACCACGCTGGGGGTGCAGAAAGTAAAAGGTTGCACTTTGGGGAGGAGTGGACAGGACAGGTGAGCCTAAACTGACCAATGAGTTATTCCACCCTATTCCATGCTCCACAGCATCAATGCTGACACTGATACAATTCCCATCAGGGGGTTGGGATTGCTATTGCTTTTGCATATATTCCATTTTATTATTACCATTTTCATTAAAGATGTTCTAGTTTTCTTTTCCAACCCCTAAGCACCTTTCCCTAATTCCCTTTCTCTTCCCTTTGGGAAGGGAGAGGGGCTAACAGAGAGCATCCATCATGGCTCTAGAGGCCAATCCAGCCCTAACTCTGACATGCAGGAAGGAGGAAAGATCCAGCAGAAGGAAAAGATGGGAGCACGAGCAGCGCCCGGGCGTCCGACGTGCGAGGTGCCGCCC